AAACTCTTTTCTTTACAAAATTCTGTCTTTACAGTAAGACTGAATTTTTATTCTTATTACTCGATTGGAATTCAAATTCCAATTTACGGATTTGAGTCCATACAGAACGATCACCCAGATAATTTAAGTAATGTTTTCACTTTTCACCTGTTGCAATACTATCGTCACCATGTGTTTAGACTAACTTTTAACTATATAAATTCGATTACTTTATTTCTAGATTTTATTTGCGTTAGCAAAATATCACGTTTTTGTTTGTATAGTAACATAAGTCCAATTAGTGTGAAAATAAAACAGAGGCATGGTAGTAATAATTTGTATTATTTTGAATTAAATTTGCACGTTCTACTTTTCGAGATTTCGAGATTTCGTTTTCTTGTTTCACTTTTATTATAAAGGTAGTATAGCTAATGATATTTGCATATTTAAAGTGGGTGTCGGGTCACCTTAGTGCATAAAAATAATATTACGAACGATTCATAAATTATTTTTTTATTAACGACTTCTGTTGAAAACATGTTCATTAATTTTCATTCTATGGACCATTAATTAATTATGCAACATATTATTACGATGAATGTAATAACAATAAAAGAGTTATTTGTTTTATCAGATCATAAAATAAAACAACGCATTTAGACTTAAAGAATAGTTATTGCGTCTACTAGTTATTTTTGGAGCTTATTCCCATTTCATATAGGTCCTAACTACCAGATTGGTAGTAAAACCAAGCGTTAACAAAAAGTGAAGCCCTTATGGTTTTCCTCTGCGCAACATACCTGCTCGCGCATCTCTAAGTGCGAAATGAATTATGTAATATAAGTCATTAATTTTTAGGTAATTATAATTTATATATGTAATAATATATTTTATCAAATTAATATAAATAAATAAATGGATTCATTTAATTCATTTGCCTATTGTATGTATTTTAAGACAATCGTTTTTCAGGAGTAAACTCCAGTCAGCTGACACACGTTTTACGTGATAGAGCCACGCTACAGCTATACCTATTGTAGTTATAACACGAATGGGTCGGCTCGACCAGGGAAGGACCACACTCTCAAAGAATACTGTGTTTCGTATGGTGAGTATAAAGAACTGGAGACCCTTTTTACTGGAATCGAGTCATTCCATCTTAGTCCTCAGAGGTGAAAACGCATTTGCATTTTGATTCTTAATTGAGGATAAATGTGGATATCTGTAGGTCACACAGCATCCATTTACCATCAGGTGGACTGTGTGCTTGTTTGTCACGCAATGCTTTAAAAAAAATTCTCTACCTTCTTATTCAACTCGGAAAACTCCACTGCCGGTCATGGGTTTGCCATAAGCAGCACTTTTGACAGGTGTACTGATATATGCAGTTTCAGAAGCGTCGTTGCTACTCCTCGTCATCGGTCGGGATATTTTAGATCTAATCATTATATGAGATGGGAGATGGTATGGTACCTATATAGGTACTATACCTAATATACCACCATGTATAGGAGATCGTACATTAAAATAAATAATTAATAAAATAACGATTATTAACAGCCAAACATATTGAATTAGTTGTAAGTCTATATTAAAGTTTTGTCTGTCCATTCGTATCGCCTCTTATTTCTTGTACGGGATGAAATAAAGACTGGGACTAAAGATTTTTTTGATACAGCAGTGAAGGCTGTGGTTTTTGGCTGTAGATAGCACCTGGAAATATGTAAGTGTGTTGTACTTAACTAGATGGAATCCTAAAATACTAGTCCTATCACCTCTTAGCTATGCGAGAACACTTACCGCCTTAGTCAAGTTAGTAAAAATTCTATATGTGTGGACCAACTCATATTCGTATAATATTGGTAGTGCTTTAAAAGAAAATCACAATTTCTGATCGTGTGGTCGAGTTATAAATAAGTTTTGTATTTACACTGTAAAAGGTCCGAAGGGAATTTGGAGAGAAACTCATCGCGCCAATTACTGCAAAGAGCAGAACGACGTCAGCTAGGCTAGCTATTAATAAAAATGATTTTTGAAGTGTTAATATTTGGTTATATAACTGCACCTGTAATAGATGTATGTCAGGATCGTGCCAAATGGAAGTCCGTAGTCTCTGCTTACCCCTCTGGGTGACAGGCGTCAGTGTTTTATGTATTTTATGTATTATGCACCTGTAATAGAACCAAAGTAACCGACATAGCGCTGAAAGTAAGCTGAAGTGGCAATGGGTCGGCCATATAGCTCGAAGAACCGACAATCGATCGGGAAGAAAGGTTCTCGAGTGGCAGCCTCGTACCGGTAGACGTAGTGTAAGGCAAATAAATGGAGTGACGAAGTGGCTCATGACCGTGCTATGTGGCGTTACTTGGAGGAGGCCTATGAACTTGTGACGGGCTAGGATGAATGATTGAATGTAACTACCTTTTGGAGACCTAGTTATATGAAAGTTTAAGAATCTATTACTTCTTATTGTTAATTATAATAATATACCCTGATGATGCCGCAAGTTGCATCCGGTCGGTTATATAGTAAGTTTAATAATTAAAATTTACCTGGACCCAGGTAAGTGAATTAAGTACCTACATGTGTAAATCCTTTACAAAATGTAAATACATATTCTATTATTAATTGCTCTAAAGCCAGCGTTTTTTTAGAAATAGTAAACATTTCGTAAGACTTTTTTATCGAACATAAAAACTGACATTTAAGTCAAGAAATTGCGATGGACTGTATGCATTAACGTCCGTTTTAGAGATCCTCTTGATTCGACCGCTGGCAGATGTAGTGGCGGTTGACCTCGCGACCGATTTTGGACGAGACGCCGGTCACGACGCGGGGCCGTGCAAATTTTATCAGCAAAGAACAGGTCACGCGGACTAGCGAGCTGGTAGACGACCTTCTCTAGAAAATTCACTAATCACATATCAGTATCTATACGGTAAGCTGAAATACGGATTTAAAAGTACTGATGTGATGAGATCCAAGTGTAAACAGAACAAATTTAGAAAATTATACTATATATATATATATACTATATAATTATATTATCTACTAGTATAGTTGTAGCACAAATGGGTCAGCTCGAGCGGCGAAGGACCACGCTCTCACAGCATACCGGAGCACCGGAGACTCTTTTTACTGGAAACAAGGCATTCCATGTTAGTCCTCACGGGTGATAACGCATCCGTATTTTGATTCGTAATCGAGGACAGATGTAGATGTCTATGGGCCCCAGCAACCACTTACCATCACGTGGATTGTGTGCTCGGATAGCAGCAGTGTGGCTCTACCGCGTATTAAAATGCATTGCGGATACATTATACCTGAGAACTTATATGAAATAATAATTCGTTACTATTTATTTTATTTATTCTGAACAATATAAATTGTGTTGAATAATTCATGCAAAAATACAATTGAAAAGCTTAACAACCAAATTTACAATTAAATATATAAAATTACAATAAAAATATAAAATTACAATAATTAGTATACAATTAAATTATATAAAATGGCAATAACTATAAAATTACAATTATATAAAAATTACAATAAAAATTACAAGTCAAATCTCACCACTATCAATAAAATTTAAAGTATTAAATATCACAAAATAATAACGACTATATTTGTCAGAAAAAAAATACAATTATTTCTTAAAATGTCATCAAAAGTTTAAAAACATTGAATCCTCGTCTCGTCTCTATAATATAATCTCTTTAAAAACATTGAATACTCGTCAACACTATAATAACATTTTTCCAGTAGGAACTTTTTTAAAGTATTCTTGAAGCTACTCTTGTATAACATATTTTTTTAAATCAATAGGTAATCTATTAAACAGAAGTATTGATTGATAATGAGAAGAGTAGTAGTCATGACTGTAAATTTTTCTTGTCCCTCATCATACGAAATACTACACAAGCGGTATAGTGCTATTTTACGAGGGTTTATTTCTATAGAACAAAGGTGACAAACGAACACATGGTCCACCTGACGGTAAGTGAATGCTGTGTCCACACGTGCTACTGTGATGTCTATGAAATCTATATCTATCCTCAGTTAAGGATCAAAATGCAGATGCATTGTCACCCCTAACGATTAAGATCGAATGCCTCGTTCACAGTAAAATGGTTCTCCGTTTTTTTTATCCTCACTAAACGAAATACTGCAGTATAAAGCTGGTCCTTCCCCAGTCTTTCGCCAATCGAGCCGAACAGAACTAGGTGAAAGGCTGATACTTACCCAGATGGATTTCTAGGCAGAAAGAAATCCAATTATCTAGAAGGTAGATAGTAGGATTTCTTTCTTACTGCTTGCTGCTTGCGTTTTAAGGAGGATTTGAGTTGATCGCCACGCTTGGTAGCCTAATGGACGGAAGTCGTACTAGACGACTTGCACATTTAATAGCTGCCCGTCGCCAGTCTGTTTTTTACTTCTCAAGATGGTTGCAATGCCATTCATCTGTAGACATATTTTAGCATTCATGTTACAACCATAATATAGCTTCAGCATGGCTCTCCCACGTAGGTAATAAGCATGTAATGATTCTATTCGTTCAAGCAGAGTTCTATTCATGTAATTGGGTTTATTATATTGTAATTAGGTTTATTTACTGAGAGCCGTAGTAGTCCAGATGGTTAACGCTCGCTGTAAATATATCAGAACGCAAGTAACCCCGGTTCGATCCTCGCCGGCACCAATGAAATTGTTAATTGCAATTTTAAGTGCTGATTTACCACGTGCTCGGCGGTCATCATGAGGAAACCTGCATGTCTGAGGAATAAGAAAAAAAATTTCGAAGACATGTGAAGTTCGCCAACACGAATTGGGGCAGCGCGGCGGACACTTTCTTGCCCTAAAACCCTCTCAGAAATGAGGGGAGGCCTGTGCCCAGCAGTATGAGATGTATTTAGGCTGTAACTTCACTTTTAATTGGGTTTATTAGCATTAAGAATTTATAATTTCAGAAACGCTTATTAATATGGAATATGTCAAAAATTAACAATTTTCAACATGTAATGGACGGTAACATTAAAGAAATCAAAGGTAATTTCTTAGGTGTTATCTGCGCAATGGCAAAGGACACAGTGTTTAGAGCCTGCGCACGCATCGTGTGCGGGCGATATCTAGCAGACTATCGCGACGACGCCGTAACTGTCAGTCGCGACATGATAACCGCGCGTGGGCAAATGGTCACAGATGTAGGAAAACAGATCCGTCACAGCTAAATGTAATTGCTGTTTTTGTAAATTGTGATAATGAAGCCAAATTAGTAAATTTTTACGTCTGTAATGTCTTCATGTCTGTCAGTGTTGAAAAGTTGTAGAACCGTTTTTCATATATATATATATATATATATATATATATACCTTATTTACAGTCTGGAAAAAGGTTGGGTGTAACATATAAACGGATTAGAAGCCTATGGCACTGCATATTTTACAATAAAAATAAAAACAAAAATTTTGAATCTCGAAGTAAATAGCCGCATGAGTTATATAATCCGTTGAAATTTATATCGGTATCCTTTTTTTTTTTTTTATATATATATATATACATAATTACCTTTCCTAGGTTTGTCTTTAATAACGGCAATAAAACAATAAATTTAGTAGGCACCTTATCATTTCGCAGGGACACAGGCAAAAGACAAGGGCAAAGAGTAAAGTAATTGTTGAAAAAAAAAATCAAAAGTCTAATTCAAAATTTTTCTTATTATGTTTTGTAAAATATCTGTGCCAAAGGCTTCTATGTGTGTGTGTATATATATATACCTATACCTAAATATAGTTTATGACTCTATGTAACATAAAATATGCAATTTCTTCCTAGTTTACGGAGAGGCGAAAAAAAAAATTGTCAAGTTTTTTTTTGTAATTGCTAAAAAAATAAAAACAATATAATATGTACCTATTCATCATGTTCATTTGAAAAAACAAAATGCAAAGAAGCGCGTGATACTTTTTTACTTGTCCTAAAACTCTCTCAGAAATGAGAGGAGGCCTTTGCCTGTAACATTAACTAGCTTTTTAATATTCGCTATGCGGTACAAACATAAAAAATATTGTAGATAAATCAATCATCCAATCCATTACCATAGATAAAGTTTTATTTTTTTTATTTTCCTATTTTTTTCGTTTACACACAATTACAATGGCAATCTTGAGTAGGTTCGCCACTACATGAGGCGACGACCTGGTAAAAATAGGAAGTTGATGAATGTTGTTGGCCCAGATTCCTGATTTATGGTATTTCTTGGGAGCAGCTAATGTTCAGCAGTGGAGTTGCGTTGGTCTGTTATGATGGTGATGTTACCTAGTTAGATAGACTTAAAATGTACAAAAAACTTTTACCCATCTAAAGTTTTGTCCACCCAAAATCAAAGTCAATTTTTTTTTATATAAAATTAGCTTTTGCAAAAAATTTGTAATATTGGGCTAAAATAATATTAACGTTAGAAGTGACTAATAAATGGAAAATATACCTCTGGCTTAGTCTATGACTCTATACACTTTAGCATATGCAAACGGAGTTCGCAATCACAATTGTCACCGTTAATTCGCGTGTTTCTGATACAGTGTTCCGAGCAGGTTGTAGAGTTGCGAGTGCTACGAGTAAAACCAATTTCATATATTTATCATTAGCTCTTAAAATATGAATGAAATACCATGCACTTACGACCGGGTCATATAAAACAACCAAGCTTAGAATGTAGAATATTTTTGGTATTGAACGCAATATTGTAAAATTATATTTGAATGGTTTGAAGAGGAAACTAATAAGTTTTGACACTTCTTCTCAATGGATCATCCAAGCTGTAGGATTTTGGTCCGGTATTTTTGAAAGGACATTTGTGGGTCACTTGTCTGCACACTTGATGGGATATAACGCTTATGCAAATGATTTCTGGATCAACAAAGCCTCATTGAGTCTTATTTATTATAACTCTGTGTGAATTTTGCTTAAGAAATCGACATGGTAGTGACTCCAGGCCTTTATAAACATGTTGTTAAACTGCTCCTAAAAATCCTAACAAAGTTCATTAGTTAATGCATTAGCAACTAGATCAACGTGGTAGAGTCACGATGCAGCAACATTATGGTTGTAACATGAATGGTTCGGCTCGGCCGGAGTAGGACCACGCTCTCTCAGAATACCAGCGTAAAATAGCATTTAAATTCTACAGTGTTTAGTATGGTGAATGTAGAGAACCGGAGACCCTTTTTACTGGAAACGAGGCATTTTACCTTAGTCATCACGGGTGACAAAGTATCTGTATTTTGATTCTTAATCGAGGATGGATGTAGATGTCTATAAGCTACAGCATCCACTTACCATCAGGTGGACTGTGTGCTCTTCCGTCGCATACATATTTTTTTTAAATAAAGTTGTGCAAGAAAAATCAATAACCTGCTGGAATGTAATTGTCTGAAATTATTGTTATTGCTTTTAAGCACTTGTTACGATAAATTTATAAAATATAAGCAGGTAATTGGTGACTAGCGAATGTAATAAGTAGGTACCTTAGACATTGATTTAGTTTATTGCTGGTATATTGTTTACAAGTCCAAAACCACAGTATGAGGTAAAATGAAGAATATTTTGTAGTGATGTATATTAAAAATCAGTAAAAGGGTAGCATAACGATTTCTTATATTTAAAAAAATACTAAATGTGGAATAAAATAAATTTACGTATTATTTTACGTGATAAAATTCATAAAATAAATTCTATTTCAAGGGGTAGTATATCAAACTTTCCCTACACTTCGTACCCTTCAGTTTCTGTTATATATCTGATATCGAGCTGATTCTATAGTGTCCCTTTCTACTAAATATCTTTTTACATGTATATTCTATAAATATACATGTAAAAAGATATTTATGAGCAGAGATGATATAAATTCAAAGTAATATGTATATGTAAAAATTAATAACCTAATTTTAACGTTAAAACACAAACGTTTGGGTAAAATTAAGTTGTTTACGGTTTGTTGTTTTTTTATATTTATATTATGTCTCAGTGAGATATTGATTCAAACTATACGTTTCTCTTCACTTTTCGTACCAATCTTTTCTTATAGAAGAGGGGACATACAAGCATGCGGCTCACCTGATGTTAAGTGACTACCGCCGCCCATGATCAACCGCAACACCAGGGGAATTTCAGGTGCAATAATGTAATAATAATAATCTTCATACATTTTAGAAATGACGTAAGCAAAATAAATCAAGTCACTCACTTTCGAGTAATAAAAAGTGTTCTAAAAGGTCGTTGAAAGCACTTATCGATATAATAATATAAAGATAAATAAGTCAAGCGAAACCGTGCTTAACACTCAAAACTGCGCGAACGCACGTTCCAGGCGCATTGTCAAAACACCTTATACAATTTCACAAGCGAAAAGCAAAAAAATACGCCGTGTGCTGTGTGTGGTCGTTGCGAATAAAAGTGGCCGTCAAATAGTGAGGTGACATAATGGTCTAATCTCTAACCGCGATCAACCCTAATTACTTACGAAAGGAAAAGTGATACACATAATTTTATTGTTGAATTTTGTTGAAATTTTAGTAATTTATTATTTTTCATTGAAATCTACTACTACATTTTTAAAATTATAATTTATTTTGCACAATTTTAATAAATAAATAAAGTCTCTTTATTTCGGACAAACAATCATAATTCTTAGGTACAAGGAAGTTATAGCTGTTTTAGTAATAGTTAGGTACAGACAAGACACGAATAATTAGTTTAAATTTATACAAACCAGGCTTGAATGAGGCTCTAGGTTTATGCACATGCTTTCTCACTAATAGTTTATAAGTAGGTACTTTAGTAACTTATGAAAAACGTATAACTTTGTAGTTTAAGTTTCCTTGTCAGATATTACCTAACTTTTATCTACAGCAATATAAATGAAGAGTGAAATTTTAAAGAATTCGAATAAGAATTCACGGTGAAATTATGAAGACTCGAGACCATAATAATTTTCATGCACAGCTCTACCAACTAAATTCGAATAGTATACACTTGAGAGAAAACAAATATTTTTCAAACACCGATAAGGGCAAACATAATCCTTTGTGACAATCGTCGGTAATTTCAGTGTCGATAACAATGTGGTGTGTGAGAAAAGGGAAAAAATATAAGAGCAAAAGTATACCTTGACTTTGTTTAACTCAGCGGGATTTCCGATTGGGGTGATTGCTATGTAATTTGCAAATAATACGCGTCTTTAAAGGCGCTCTAAGATACACGGTCCCGTTATTATGCTGTCATAGTATTTAATGAAAGGTTTGTCGATTGGGATTTTATTTATTTGTTATTTGTATACTTGAATTTTTTGGGTTAGTTCACCGGAGGCATTTTCTATTCAGTAGAAAAGGTGGGAAAATTTTATTTATAACTAGTGTTCCGCTTCGGCTTCGGATGGGGCATTTCTGGATCTCGACAACAGCGCCATCTACCGGGTCCAATTGCGAACCGTTTGGATCATCCAGGGACCTACTCAAACGCACATAAAAATCCATATTCGAGTTTTAGCGAGACTAGAATAATAAATACGGACCGCAATTGATTTATATATATAGAGATTTTGGAATTTGTAATTATATAATGTAAGATTATTACAACAAAATACGTAATAAAAGCAAACTGCTAACTCAATAATTATGTAATTAATGCAAATCAACTGATTGAGATCTAAAATAAGCGAGCTAATCGATAAATACCCAATACATAACTTTTTACGGTTAATTTTGATAAATATAGCAAAAAGTTCCAATCGCATCCGTGTCTTGAAAGCAATCAAACGTGTGCTCAAGTATCTAACCATAAAAAATAACGCAATCAAAAACCACAAACCCGCTAAATCCGTAACGAATCACGCTGTTAAATCCAAATTTCGAATGCGAATATTTAAAATATGGCGGTTGTGTTTAGAGAATACGTCGGCCAAACAGGCGACTGACTCAATTCGTTACCTTTTTAACACGTCATCAATTATTTTCTTAATGTAAAAAAAATCTTAAATCCCATGTGGGCTTTTGTGAAAGGATTTGTGTTAGAAAAAGAATTAAGCTTTATGTCATTTTGATACACTCCTAAGAGTCTTTTGTATGGGAGTGAATCGACAATGGATGTCCTTTTATTCGTGAATATCTTTGATGTGGCACTGCTCCGATTCTTCGTTGAATTGAATCGATTTTTCAAGCTCAATAATTGTCTT